ACTTCCAGCGCATTCGGTGGCGTGGAGCCAGGTGGGGTAACGAAAAAGTCCCGGCACGTGGCATACATCGTAACCACCCTCTCAAAAACCGGACAATAACGCGTCCAGCCAGAAGATGAGCTGGGAGGAGGACAGGCTCGTCAAAAAACGGATTGACAGGACGGATAGCTACCCTATATGTGCTTCGTAAAGAAAGCAAACAATGACAGAGGCAGAGAGCAGCGTCGGAGGAGCAGAGGAGAATCATCCAACTTTAGCAAAAGCAGTGATATTGAGATATGTTTGTGGACAACCAAGAAGTTCTCGAAGGCTTCACGAGAGCCAGCTTCCCAAGGAACGGGGCGGCCCACTCTAAAACTGCACCACGAGCAAGTCCGTCATCCCGCAATCGGGCGGGCGTGCATGGATGCATCCACGGTAACCAAGAAGTTTGAGCCAATCAGAGGTAGAGCACACCTAAAGCCTCCTTTCAGTCCCCTGCAGTACTGCACGCCTCCTCTCAGTCCTTAGGACTCAAAGTCTTCTTCCGGTCCTCTGCTGGACCTAAAACTTCATTCCAGTCATCTGCAGGACACCAAACCTCCCCTCAGTCCTCTGCAGGACCTAATGCCTCCCCACAGTCTTCTGCCACGTTGAAAGGGAGTGGCTTTAACATTGGACTTTGCTTATGAACCCAAAAGAATGAGAAAATGAGACAAACTTAACTTTTTATTGAAAAAAAGGGAATATTTTTGTGTGTGTGTTGTATTTGATTTGATTTGATTTAATTTATTTTATTTTGTATTGTAAGATTTTATTAAAGGGCAGGCTGCCTAAGCTGTCATGATCATAGCTGTATTGTTTCTTGTGCACCAAGTCAGTCAGTCATAAGTCCTCTCCCATGTTTAAAGCATCCTCTAATTAGTTATTATACAGATTGAATATTAAAATCCCCTAGATTATTAAATTGTTTCAACTTCCTGATGTGATGCGTGATTGATACACAACCAGGTTAATTCTTTAAGGTTGTGAATGCCTCATTCTGCCACACAAGACGCATCAGGGATGCATGTGTGAGCATCCTGAACTTGTATTTCCTGAGATATTTGTTCTGAGCACGTAGATCCAGGATCCCGAAAATACCTGGAGTAAAAACTGCTCTGACATTGGAAAATGTCATCCTGTAAAACTTGAGCTGCTTCTTCCTGAGTCTGGGAGTATATCATACCAGTAAATCGTGGAGGAACAGCGGCAAACTGCAGGTGCGTTGGCGCCCTCTTATAGTGAAACAGTGGTATGGTCCTGGGGAACGCTGTGCGTTTCTGCCAGGGAGGACAGCAGGGACCAAACAGCCCTTAGCGGGGAGAATTGGTGTCCCTTCCATGATGCCTCCTTGTACACCTTTTCAGTCAGCGCTGACTGAAGATGGTCGGACTCGGATCGCAGGCTAGGGCTGACAGCCGTGGGTGAAGGAGCGCTGTAACGAGTGGCTTCATTGGAGGCAATGAAAAGCAGACCCAGGCTCTCCATCACCTCACAGTCGAGGGATAAGGCCCCGGGAACCCGCTGCTGAAAGTCTCTCCATGAGCGTGCCACCTCATTCAGCAAAACAACTTCTCCCTGTCTTTCCAGAGTTGTTTTGCTGGATGAGGTGGCGCGCTCTTGGCTGAGGGCAATTTCTTCCTTTCCTAGCAGGATCTGGTGGTCTCAGCTATGACAGCAGGCCAGGGGATGGCTAGCCGGGCAGCAGTTCGTTTGTACACGTCGAGCATATCTGAGCTAGGAAGAGGAGAAGCTGGTATGCTACTCTCGTCTACTATGCTACTATGTCCGGTGCTTGAAAAACCATGGTGGGACTCTGAGAACAGTGCTAACCAAGCTGCGGAGGGGCGAGGGAGCACTGAAATCTATCTGGTGTGACCAACAAAGCAGAAAAATATCCAAAGCTAGTAGCGCCTTGGAGTAAGATCCACCTGTGGATAGTTAAGCCAGCTAGCCCTGGATGCGAAATATGCTCTAAGTGAGAAGAGGTGTTTGAATGAAGTGGTATGAAGTATTTAAGGGAGGTGGGACTACCTAAGGCGGACGGACGTTCAACAGTCAGTCAGGACTGGCGTAATAAGAATATTGCTTCTGAAAGCTGCAATGAGGCATGCATCCCATAGTGAGACATCAAGTGAAATATTATGAAAGAGAACTAAAGTTGACTGCAAAGTACAAGTTATATGTACAAATGCACTGTTATACATATTTAATGAAATACACCCAGGAGGGTACTGAACAACTTCAGGGGCAACTCTTGTCCAAAGGACAGGTCACACAAACAACATAGGAAGGACAACATAAAAAAAAGTCAGAATAGCCTGTAAACCAAGGGCAGCCAGGAGAAAGTAAAGAGGTGAAGAGAAAGGCTACAGAAAGGTTAAGACCTGAGCTAATTTCTTAAGTTCAAAACTATCCAGAGGCTTTATATATTTCGGGGGTTGCAACAATCACAGTTATCAGGTATGTGAGCTGACATAATGTAGTTTTACAGAGCTGAGTTGTTTTTGAAGCTATCTTGCACCCTTACAATTGCTACTCTATATGCATAACTGGGTCAGAAAAAGAGTCACTGGAGTCATTTTCTTCCAATATCTTCCCAATGAAGAAACACTGACATATTCCATTCATTTTTGTTGATTCATATTCCGGTAAAACATATTTTTTATACAGAATCTTGTAAATTTAACCTAACTTTTTAAACAATTTAAGAAACTGTAGATTTTTAACTACTTCAGGTTTTCATAACTGTGTCAAAAGTGACCAATGGTAACCTTTGACCCTAACCAACTGTGGATGTCAGGAATCTATTTGCTGTAGACCACGTTGATAATTGTAGAAGAGTCAGCTACAACATGATGATTTTCTTGTCATTTTCTTGTCATCACTCTGCCATCATCCCCTCTCAAGATTGGGCTCACCATCCTCACAAACTGCTCTTCAGAGTAGGGTGTACCTCTTTCCTTGCTTGGCCTTTGTAGCAGTGTTGATATTTGAGAAAAAGCAATCTTTGTACCTAAAACAGAGAAACTAATATTTTATCTGGCAACAAACAAATGAATGCCTATAAATCATAATTTTTTTAAAGATGTAAACATTTACATAAACATTTATGTTAAAAAAAAAGATTTTGTCATAGCCTTATCTCTCATTGTGATGATCAGCAACTACACAAATGTACACACGCACGCACACTTTACCTTGGATCCAGTACAGTAGCAATGCTGTAGAGAGGGTCAGCCTCAGTGAAGCGTCTCTTAACGGCTGCAGCCAACGTGCCCTTCATTGTCTTGATGCCTTGGTCCTCACCAGTTTCTTTGGACAAAAGTCTCTGAAGCACGGTCACAGCAGGTATTACATCTGATGCCAAAGCATCAGAAGAGCTCACTTTTTGAGTTAACTCTTCAAAGGGAGCGAGAACAGATAAAGTCTTTATATATATCCTGCTGGAGCCTTCTTATTGGCTGGTTGAGCTGCACCTGAATGTCCTCCAACCGAGAGTAGGCTAAGGCAGAATGTTTAACATGTCCTACTACTTTCTGACCGACTGCTACCGCATCAGCTCCACTTTTATGCGCCAAAACACCCTCGTTAACAGCTAGCTGAAGTGTGTGAGCGACACATGGCGAGCTAGGGAGTCCAGTCCCACTGCCTTGATCCGTTTTTTTGCATTGTTCCGGAGCACAACATGAACAGATGATTTGGGATGTCCCTTGAATGAAGTATATTGTCAATGCACCTGCGATGGCTTGGCCACTATGTGATCCACGGACCTGCTTAGCCTGCAGAACAACCCTTTTGTAAAGCAAAGTTGTCATCTAACCACTGTGCAGTTAAACTGATGAGCGACATTGGGTTGACACAACTAGTCCAAATATCAATGGTAAGGCTGAAGGCTGAAATGTCCTGCAAAAGGCTCTTGATGTGCTTTTTCACAAAGTCGTGTAGCTTTGGTAATGAGGTGTCTGTGATGTGGTGACAGCTAGGAATCTCATACTTCGGCTCCAGGACACTGAGAAGACGGCGAAATCCTACATCATCCACAACTGACAGCGGCTGTTCATCAAGATCAATGTACTGAGTCAGCGCTTCTGTTATTTTCACCGCCCACTGGTTGTCGCTTGACATTTTCTCTCGCTTCGTTAGCGTCTGCTGTAAAGTTGGTTGTTGCTTCTTCCCGCTGCTAGCATTAGCATACTCCTTGAACTCCGTGCTATGTTGAGTCTTTAGATGTTTTATCATATTGCTTGTGTTAAATGAGCTTCTTTTCGCCCCTCCTATTGACACTTTAACAGAACATAGTTTGCAGTCTGCCTTACTTTTGTCACCATCGTTTATCTGCTCTTCCGCTTACCCAGCAGCTCAGGTAAAGTGACGTCATGCGGTATCGGGTGTGTAGTATCGGAGCTGTTTAACGAGTATGAGTACAAGTACTTGAGTACAGTATCGGTATCGGTTCATCCCTAATTCAGACCTATCTTGCTGGCATAACTTTCTTTCTCAGACTTATCCCAGGCTCACAATGCACTGCCATCTCCCGTTCTCACACAACCATGCTTAACAAAGGCTTAAGAAAGCAGGAGCCTATCATCCCCACCAAGCGCCTACCACTCACCTTTGAATTATCCAGCCTCTGCATTCACTCCCTCTGTTCAGACTACTCATCCTCAGTGGTTAATTCCACACTAGATTCAAAGTTAAAGCTTTAAAAATGAATTTTAAAACAACGTCAAGAAAGCTTTGAGAGACGACCTCGCAGAGTTTAAAGCTAAGGTTTTGCAGGAGCTCCAGAGCCAAAACGCTACTATATCTGAGGCACAAAACTCGAATAGCTGATATGGAGTCGGCCTGCTTGGAGATGAAAGAAACATTACTGGCGGTGGTGAAAGAAAATACGCAGATGAGGGACAAAGTTGTCGACCTGGAGAGCTGTTCCAGAAGAAATAATATCAGAATTTATGGGGTGCCAGAAGAAAAAGAAGAGATCTGCTCTGAGTTTGTCAATGAGCTGTTTAAATGAAACCTGTCCCTGCTGCAGGGACTCGAGCTCCAGGTCCAGCGGGCACACAGAGCATTGATCCCAAAGCCAGCTTCTACCTCTTTGCCGAGATCAATAATTGTTAACTTTCTGGAGTCTCACGTTAAGGAGTTGGTCCTAAGGAAGGTGTGGCAGCAGAAGATTGAGAATTCTGGTAAAAGACTTTGACAACGACTATGCGATAGACCTCATGGAGAGGCACAAGTCATATGGACCCATCAAAGCAGCACTGAAGGAAAAGGGGATCCGGTACCAGACCCTTACACAAAGATGCAGGTATACTGGGACTCTGGGGCTGGTGATATACAGCACAGCGGAGTAGGCAGCACAGGACCTGAACCAACGCGGAATCAAGGTGAAGGTGATAACCAAAGCGAACAGCGCGGCGACAGTGGAGGAGTGACTGAATGCACCACCACCAACGGCGCAGCTCAGCATGCGAGGGAGAGGCTGACAGAGTTCAGACGAGACACAGACCGAGGGAGCTGCATTGGATGAAAAGATAAGAGCTACGACGCCAGGTGAACTCAAAGATTATTATTTTTCTTGGTTAAAAAGGACATTTACTTTTGTTCTTTTGAGTGTTACTCTAATACACACGAATCTGGGTCATAAAATATATAATGACTCACAACTTAAGTTTATACATCAGTAAAACCGATAAGAGGGAGTGATTTGTAGCAAGCACCAAATGTTGGACAATTCTAGTATTCGTGGAATTTTTCTCATGACCAGGGAGGGTCCCCACCACAGTGAGGCACCAAACCTTCCTCCCACAAGGGATGGATAAGTACATCTCTTTTTTGGAACCCACATTGTTTAGTGTTTAATTGTTGTTCTTTGGTTAAGTTGTCTATGTTCAGAGCTGGGTTGCCTCACAAACACATTAGAAATGATAGAGTATAATACTTATATACTCTTGTTGAATGTTAATAGTTTAAATAACCTGGTAAAACATCTGAAGATAATGACTAAATTAAAGGATAGGTCATGTTGTGTCTGGTCTGTCTGTGATGTGTAGATGCAGAAGAAGGCTTCGTGACACTGGCTTGCTTGTATAAGAGGAGTTTATTATAAAGACAAAACCAGTATCAATACAGCACTGCAGTTGCTGTGAGAGGACTGCCAATGATGTCCAGCTCTCCCAAACCAGAGTTTGTGATCCTGTTATATAGGGTCAGAGATGTAGGTCCTCCTACATCTCCCAAGGTATCTTTGTTACCATCTTTTTTTTTTAGCCTGGAATTGAGACCTGTGTCCTGTGACCTGTGACCTGCAAACATGCAACCTCCAGGATATCTGACCCAGGTACCATAAATGAGACACAAAGAGACACAAGCCCACATTCCACAATTGGTCATCTCAGGCTCAGGCTGAGAAATACCTCAAGGCACTGCATATTGGCGCAGTACTCCATATACCACGTATTTCCCCCTTTGAGACTCCATAGAGTCTCAAAATAGGAAAATACATGTTTATAATTTCAATTTACCACTAAATTTTGGAGTGTGAGAGCGAAAACCTGTCAGGCAGCTATTTTTCTATTATTATCCATCAAACAATCATTATGAGTGAGGGAGAAAGAGGAGGAAAAGCTGAGAGAGACGCCGCAGCAGCCAGGAGAGGCGAGGGCTGAGCAGTGATCCTTCAAGTTGTCTGGTCATTCTGTTGGCCCTTTAGCTGCAGATCATCGGTATGTCAAACAGCTGAGAGGGAGAATCAGGCATGAGGAGGTCACCCTGTGAAGTGTGCATGACATCTGTCTCCTAAGGAAGACAAGAGAGTGTCATCTTGTGAGAAAACTACTTCATTAGTAATTAGAAAGACTTTTGGATGCACCTCAGCTGTCTTTGTCTGCGTTTTCATAATCTCAAACTTCTCCCTCTCCTCCAGCCGTATGGGTCTGTGATGTCATCAACAACATGACTTTTGATTGGCCAGAGGTCTAGCAGGTCCAGATATTCGCCTGCGAATATCCAAAAAATTCGAGACAGGAGCGAAAAAATAAAAGCGGCTTTTCGCCCCGCGGAAAAATCGCCGCCGGTGTGGAAGCTTGCATTGACTTTATGCTGTTTTAAAAAAAGGCGAATAATTCGCTTGGTGAATTCTCGCCTGGTGTGTAAGGACCTTTAGAAGGAGAAAACAAATAAAATACCTGGGATCCCAATACATTCACTTTACAACTTAGGCTATGAATCACTAACCAACCTTCCATACTTTTCATTCTTCCTATACTGTCTGGTATTGACATGTACATTGAAATACAACACACAGAGATAAATTGACATTCATATCACAGATTACACACTAACAAAACACCACTCTTAGAAAATGAATAATAATTGTTGCTTCTGAACGTTCTTGGTTGCTTGTGTAGTGTTCTTTCAGTGGGGTTTTCCGTGTTTGGGTATCCAATGCAATGTCCTTGTTCACATCCACTGTCAGGTTTCAGTTTCTGTTTCCATTGTCCATGCTTGATTGTTCTTGTTGGGATGTGTGGGTCAGTTCAAGCTGTCTAGATCTCTGGAGAACCACCTTTCTTTAGCTGGTCTCCCCAAATGCTATCCTGGGGATGAAAAAAAATCAAGCAGTATCTTGCAAAAAAACATACATTTTTGTTTGTTTGACCTATTTATCCTATTTCCCCCCCCAAGTAATACTCCCCCTGTCATACCATCAAATTTAAATCTGTGTGCTGTCCAGTCTTACCCAGAAGGTTTTTTTATCACCCCATTAATTTTTTTCATTGATACCTTGGCTTTGCGGATGGTACACAGCTCCCAAACATTGTTTAATTCCCAGTTTTTGTAAATCAATTGCACTGTTTTATCCACACACTCTTCTCCATAATCTGGAAGTCCCCATCTGCTTATGACCTCCCGACACAAGAACTTGGCAACATACTGAGCATTCTTCTGCTTGGTTGGACAAGCTTCAACCATTAGACCTCTCTGAACAATATATTTTAGATAGATTGCACACCTACTGATGTCATAATCAATTTGCTCACACAAATGTGGTGCCCAAAAACCATACTATGATGTTTCTTTTACCTTCCCCCCTTGCATCATTGGCTAACCCTGTGCCTCCTGAATCGTTCTTTTTCAACAAATAATCAATGTCCTTGACAAGAACCATCTTTTACTTACTTATCAAAAACTTTCTTACTGTCTCCCTTCACTCATCCTCTGATAGAGCTCTCTCCTAACCAATAAGAGTCTCTGGTATACTGGTGTTGTGTCTGGGCTGTCCTCGATGTGTAGATGCAGAAGGAGGCTTCGTGACACTGGCTTGCTTGTATGACCCTGTTATATACAGTTAGGGATGTAAGCCCTCCTACATTCCCAAATTATGTTTCCTTACCATCTTGTGTTTGGTAAACCTAGAGTGGTGTTTTATGACCTGTGGCCTGTGACCAGTGAAGTGCCCCTCCCAGGCTATCTCACCCCAGGTATCACTAATAATAAACAGATAAACACAAGCCCACAGTCCACAACTGGTTTCTCAGGCTATTCCTGAGAAATACCTTAAGGCAATGCATAGTGATGTAGTACTCCAGATACCACATATTTCCCCCCTTCGAGACTCCATAGAGTCTCGAAAAAGGCAAAGAAATGTTACAATTTCTATTTACTATTAAAATTTGGAGTGTGAGAGCGAAAACCTGTCAGGCAGCTATCGTTCCATTAGTATCCATCAGACAATCTAGACAGGAAAAAGTCACTCACGGTCCCTCTGCCCTAGGCGACCACCTATTGTACTCCAATCCAATTGAAAGGTAAGGGTTAAACTTTATGTGGAAATAATGTTTGGCGCAAATATTCTTGGGAATCTCAGAAATAAAATTTAAATTATCCACAGTCAAGCTGGTCTTCCCATCGGACCTTCCGTGGACCTATCCCTGCCTAACACCACTGATCCTAAACACGAGAAACCAAAGAAAACACCTGAGATCCCAATACATTCACTTTACAACTTAGGCAATGAATAACTAACCCTCCCTTCATACTTTCCATTCTTCCTATGCTGTTTGGTATTTGCATGACCATTAAAATACAACACAGAGAGAGAAAAATTGACATTCATATCCCAGATTATACATTAACAAACTCTATGATTAAAATGAATAATAATTTTTGGTCCTTAACATCTTCGGCTGCTTGTGTAGTGTTCTTGTCCATGGGTGTTCTCCGTTTGTGTATCCAATGCAATGTCCTTGTTCACATCCTCTGTCAGGTTTCAATTGTGTTTACATTGTCCATGTTTGATTGTCTTGTTGGGAGGTGTGGATCCATTAAGGCTGTTTAGATCTCTGGAGAACCACCTTTCTTTCGCTGGTTTCCCCAACTGCTGTCCTGAGAATGAAAAAATTAAGCAGTATCTTGCCAAAAACATACATTTTTGTTTGTTTGACATGTTTATCATATTTCCCCCTAATTAATACTCCCCCTTTATGACATCAAAATGTAAAACTGTGTGCTGGTCAATCTTACCCAGAGGGTTTTTCATCACCCCATTCATTTTTTCACAGATACCTTGGCTTTGCGGATGGTACACAGCTCCCAAACATTGTTCAGTTCTTAGTTTTTTCAAATCAGTTTCACTGTTTTATCCACACACTCCTCTCCATTATCTTAGAATATTTACTCTGAAAGTCCCCATCTGCTTATGACCTCCCTACACAAGAACTTGGCAACATAATGAGCATCTTTCCGCTTGGTTGGACAAGCTTCAATTGTTACACCTTCGAACATTATTTTTAGACACATTGTACATCTACTTATGACATAATCAAAAATTTGTGGTGTCCAAAAACCTATTCCTTCATGATGTTTCTTTTAACTTCCCCCCTTGCATCATTAGCTAACCTTGGCCTCCTGAATCGTTCTTTTTCAAGTAGGTCTGGAGGTGCCACCATCAGCCCTTCATGATTCCTCCACAATCCTGTGGTATCCTGTGTTGTACCTCGGTCACGCCATAACTGTTTGTCTATTTCAGAGGCCGCTTCTTGCATTGAGACTATGTCTTTGAGGGTGATTTTATCTTCTAAGTCTACTTCATGAGTGACCAGAAGAACTTTGCCCTCTCTATCTGCCCCTGTAACAGCTTTTGCAGCCTCATCAGTTGTTCTGTTGTTTTGAGTCACTCTTGACATGTCCCCTTTATGTGCTGCACACTTAGCTATTGCTATTTCGTTTGGCTTCATCATTGCATGCAGCAATTTGGTTATCTGGGCATGATGTTGTATAGGAGACCCATCTGTTTTCTTAAATCCACGATTTTTCCACAGTGCTCCGAACAAGTGACAAACATTATGTGCATATGCAGAGTCTGTGTAAATTGTCACTCGTTTGTCTTCTGCCAAAAGACATGCCTCAGTTAGTCCTACAAGTTCAACCAGCTGTGCAGATGCTGGTTGTTGCACTGTTTTTTTCCTTTTTGACAACAAATCCATCTCCTTCAGCTTTTACAACTGCATAGCCAGCGCTCAATTTGTCTCCAATCCGATAACACGACCCATAAGTCCAATACTCTACATCTGCTTTCTGAAGTGGAAGGGCTTGCAAGTCTGACCGTAGTTTTGAATATCTCTCTGATTCCTTTAGTCCAATATCAGTGCTGTATTGAGACCACAGATGTTCTGGCAAGTGTTGTAGCATGTCTTCTTTTATAGCGTCTGAGTCAAGTTTAGCACTGCAAATTGACTCATGTGTCATCTGTACAGCTTGTGGCTGACCCTGTACATGAGCAGAGATAACAATCCTTATTAACTGCTGATCCTCACTCACCCAAATAGCAGGATTTTCCTTAACTGGTGTGAAAATAGCATTCTCTGCTTCTGCCATCATTGAGCCTATATGCTTCTGTTCATAGGTCACAGCCAACATCAAAGTCACGTCCCCCTATCAGGGTTTACAGGTCCTCTGAGTGGGCGCAATTGTCCCCTAGTGCTTCTCCTAAAGCCTCCCCTGAGACCTAAAACTTATCAACACCCAAAAAAGATCAATCTGTGTGATTTTACCAAGCAGCAATGACAAACCACATCCACACGTTTCAGCAAAATTTTAGACCTCTTGGATATGCTCTTTTAATTCAACAATAATACGGTACTTAATCAGCCCTTTCAACTGGTCAGTCTATTGCCAAGCCTTTGTTTTTACCAACAAAACTACTGCTCTTATTGTCTATCATTACCAAATATATACACCCAATTAAATGTGTTCCCACTATAAATGTGTGTATGTACAACTAAGTAGCAGCAGATGCATAGGAGAAGAGTTTGTAGATAAAACTATACTGGCCTGTCAAATGGGAGCAGGTCCTGGTGAGCCTCTCATCCGTAAGCCCCCTCTTGTTGCAGCACAGCCAATTATCTTCTTATCTGTTTTATGGGCGCTCCAGCGTCAGATGCCTTTCATTCTCCTCTCCCCTCTCATGCATCAGAGTTGGGGACAAAGAACAAATCAAATGTTAAGTACAATACAATCACTTCATTCAATACAATTTAAAACATTTACTACCACTATTTAAAGATTTCTTCTACTATCTAACTACCTAAATTTATTATACACTGTTCCCCTTTACCATGGTATACCATTTAAAATTTTCACACATCTAGGATAGTTAAACTAGATTTTTTAGCTTTCTTTCTGTTCTCAAGCCTGTAAGAAGAGAAAGAAAGAGGGAGGAAAAGCTCCCTGGATTTTACAATTTTTAACTGGGCTTTTCCCTCTAAACATGATCATCAGCAAGTGATCATTCACTCTAAATATTCACACACACACAGAGGAAAACCACACCCATCAGTTAGCAAATCACTCCAATCTTTTACTGTTTTTTCCTGTATCTGTATGAACACAAATGTCCTTGCTGGTTTTTACACTTCTTTAATTGCAATATTAGTCAAGGATGTTATCACCATCCAAAGTCCTCCTCATCTAATAAGGGGCTCATTTCTTACTATTAGGTGTACAAACGTCCTCTTTATCCTGAGAGGCTCATAGCAGTTACTTTTTCTATTAATGTTCCTGTACAAAGAAAAACAGGGTTCATATGTTTTTTAACACTACAAAGGTAGCAGTATCTCTTCCCTTATATGTTAATTTCTTATATCATATCATTATATATTTAATAAGACATCATTTATCACTTTATCATAAATTAATCACTTATATTTATGCTAGACCCTTCCCCAACTTTGTGCACACACCACTCACTGCACACAGACTCTTTTGCACTCACACTCACAGCTCGGCACCCATACACACACTCCTCTCACACACACACCAGAAGCTTCTCTCACACACGGAAATTCCAACACACCTCTCCTCACAGAGCTCAATGTTTCCTTACTATAGTTTATAGGCCTTTTTTTTTTCTTTAAACTGTCCTTACCGGTTTGTATGCCCAATCACGACTTCCCTAACTTTATGTTAACTTAATTTTTTTTTTCTTTAAACTGTCCTTACCGGTTTGTTATGCCCAATCACGACTTCCCTACCATTAAGTTAACTTTTTCTCTTGTTTCCGCCATCTCAGCCTAGGCCATCTCAGCCTTTTTCTCTTTTTCGGCCATCTCAGCCCAGGCCATCTCAGCCTTTTTCTCTTTTTCAGCCATCTCAGCCCAGGCCATCTCAGCCTTTTTCTCTTTTTCGGCCATCTCAGCCAAGGCCATCGCAGCCTTTTTCTCTTTTTCGGCCATCTCAGCCTAGGCCATCTCAGCCTTTTTCTCTTTTTCGGCCATCTCAGCCAAGGCCATCGCAGCCTTTTTCTCTTTTTCGGCCATCTCAGCCTAGGCCATCTCAGCCTTTTTCTCTTTTTCGGCCATCTCAGCCAAGGCCATCGCAGCCTTTTTCTCTTTTTCGGCCATCTCAGCCTAGGCCATCTCAGCCTTTTTCTCTTTTTCGGCCATCTCAGCCTAGGCCATCTCAGCCTTTGTCTCTTTTACTCTTTATCTCTTTTTATCATTTATTTGCCAATTACCCTGGGCTCCGGGTTTTACTCCTCACTTTTTTCTTTCCACGCCCCGAATTCGACTATCCTTTTTGAGCTAGACGTTCACATTAGTCACTAATTTACACATTGTCTTACCGTTAAGAAGACATGGGCCCTGTCTTCGTTAATCTTGCAAGGTTATTAAGCACACTCCCATTACTAGTCTCTGCTATTCTATTTTTGGCATCTCTTTTTCGTCTGTTTTAACATCTTCTCTACAACTTCTTTTCTTTTCTATTCTACCCAAATTTAGACGAAGCCTCTCTTCAACAGCACATCACAGCATTTCCACACAAGTACAAGTACTTTTACACAGTACAGCCAAACAGCTGAACACAACAGCTCCAACAACTAAACCAGCAGCACTTTATGTGAGTAAAACACTCACCTGGCGCCAATGTGGTGCAGGAATAGATGCGCTGAAGCTGCCGTGATCCTCTGAAGGCTGTTGCTGATCCTGTTCGTGACGCCAATTTGTTGTGTCTGGGCTGTCCTCGATGTGTAGATGCAGAAGGAGGCTTCGTGACACTGGCTTGCTTGTATAAGAGGAGTTTATTATAAAGACAAAACCAGTATCAATACAGCACTGCAGTTGCTGGGAGAGGACGGCCAATGATGTCCAGCTCTCCCAAACCAGAGTTTGTGACCCTGTTATTTACAGTTAGGGATGTAAGCCCTCCTACATTCCCAAATTATGTTTCCTTACCATCTTGTGTTTGGTAAACCTAGAGTGGTGTTTTATGACCTGTGGCCTGTGACCAGTGAAGTGCCCCTCCCAGGCTATCTCACCCCAGGTATCACTAATAATAAACAGATAAACACAAGCCCACAGTCCACAACTGGTTTCTCAGGCTATTCCTGAGAAATACCTTATGGCAATGCATAGTGATGTAGTACTCCAGATACCACACTGGCCTTGTTGTCCACCATTATAACATGCTTCTGAAAATGATTGGACGTTTGGATTACAGTTTCTTTCTCCACTGCTTCCACTCCATTGCTGCCACTGACCCAAGGCTAGTTGTGCAGATGGAACCATAGGAGCGACTGGCATCTGCTGGGGTGGTTGGCACTGAATCTGTTCTTGCTGTTGTTGCACTTTCGCTTGATCTGGTTGAGATTGACTTTGCATAACTAAAGCTTGCTTCTTCTCCTTCTTTTTGCTATCTCCAAGCTGTATTTGGTTAAGTTGTCTCAGAGTCTCTTGATCTTGCTCTCTCTGCTCATTCTCTTTCTTACTGTACAGCTCCACTTGATATGCTATATGGTCTGTGTATACCCCTTTTGTCATACTACCAAGACCAACCACCTCTGCTAATTTACTTCTCACTGGCTGGGGCAACCCTTTCTGTATTTTAGCTTGCAAAATGGACTGCTCCATTTGGTGCATAAGATAGCTCGTGGCTTTAGCTTCCTTTTAATAACTTTTCTAGCGTCAAATGTACACTTTGGTTTCCATTCAGTTTATCTTGACGATCCCTGGTTCTTCCATTTCGTTGTACTTTCTTTCAGTTTTCTCATTGAAATTGTAGTGATAGTACGTAGTCATGTAAGCCAAAGTCTGCCCGCATCAAAGACTTTGGCAGATGAAATGTATCTATGCCACAATTTCAGAGCCGTTTTTGTGAAATGGCTATGTTATGCGCAGTGGACCAACGTAGGTATTTCACGTTTTTGAGTGAGACTGCATTGCCTGCACCGACACACCTGCAGCTCATCACCAGCAATCAGCGGCTCCACTTAAACTCTGCCTGGATGTCTCTCAGTGCCAGATTATTCCCACACCTTCTGTGGTATCTCGGCCAGTTTGACTGTCACTATTCAGAAATTATCTCTTCTTAACTAGTGCCACAACTCGCTCTCTGGATCCCTCACCTGCCTCACAGCTAAACTCAGGCCCGGACTACACGTATATAGATATTTATTTAGCAGGATATTTTTGTACTCCCGTCTAAATAAATGTATCTGTCCACACGTGTTAGTTCTCAAAAATATCTGCGTCCACACGTAGCCTTCAAACTCAATCCTATCTGGTGCCGCTTAAAAAAAATTCAGGAACAAAGCTACCTGATTGGCCGATGAATCGTAACAGCGTGATGCGTCATGCATTGTTTGCGGAAGCTACGCTAGTGCCTCAGGTCCATGTGACGGATCATGTGACCAATAAAGTATTGGCCGCAGCAGACGCATCTGTGAGCTGGCTGACTGGTGGATGTAATTGTATAAAACAAGGTTCACTTGCAAGGCTGAAATTAGCCCCAAAAGGGCAAAACAAACGTAAAGAATACCCTGTATGTCCGCCATCGTTGTTGTTGTTTTTCTTTTTAATTCGCATGCACAAGCTGCGGTTTGACGTCATCGATCCGTAAAAGTTCAACCACACGAATCTACTTGTACGGATATTTTTTTATTTCTCCACTTGTTTTTTCGGATTCAGATTTATCCGGTTTGGGTGTTCCAAACTCCCGTTTTGGTGTGGTAGGGAGGCCTAATCAGACAAAAATATGTGCGGTTTGAAATAAATCCGCATTCGTGTAGTTGGGGCCTCACTCATCGTCACCCCACCAGAACTCCTGCATTGGATCTAGGATCTCCATTCCCCTTATCACCTGCTCCTTTAACCCATTAAGACCTGAACCCTGTCTGAGACACGCCTCTGAAATCCTGAGGGCAGTTTTGAGAAGGGCCCCCAGATCCTGAGGTCTTCTGAAGTGTTGAGGTTTACAAAAAGCTGATATCTCGGCCTCTGTAGCAGATAGAAACAAAATTCTATGCTATTTGAGAGTTTACACATGTGGCTTTCAAAATAGCTATCTTTTATTTTTCACCTTCATTACATTATTGAAAACTTTGAACAAACAAACTCTAATGAAATACAGCAGCTGTATAAATAAAAGTAAAGGCTCTGCACTGGAGAATAACAAACTATTTGATTTCTGTAAAACAAGTGGCAGTCACGATAAAGTGTTTATTCAATACAAATATAAAAATAAGGTGTTGAAAAGGTATTCAGCTGCCCTGGTATAGGGCCAGTACAAGAGCAGCACTAAAAAATAAAAAAATAAATTAATAAATGGCTGACAGTCTGTTCATCTCTTTGCTCACCCAAAGTCATGCAACACTTATAGAAATCGCTGATAGTGTGAGCCAAGGCACTCAATATGAAGAGGGTGATTACACTGCTGGATGCTTCTCCTCTGAAGCTGCTCTCTGCCTCCGTCATTGTTTACTTTCCTCATGAAGCACGTAGCAAGATCCAAGCATGAATCCAATTGCTTTATTAGCCTATCAGAGGCAGATGGGTATGATGGTTTGATTCACCACGACTCCAGAAATGATTGAAAAACTACAGAATGTTACAAAATGACGTATTTATGTTCCCGGCTTTAAAGCAGAAATGTGCAGCGGCGCCGTTGGTTTGGAAGGTCGAAATGCGTACATGCTTCTCCCGGCTTGAAGGGTTGAAATATCTACATGCACCCGGCTTTCCAGTAGAAATGCGCAGCTGCGCTCCCAGCTTGGAAGGTTGAAATACGTACAGGCTGTCCCAGTTTAAATGGGTTAAATAATTGTACACTCCCTGCCTCCAGTCTGCTTCTGAGTCCTATTTAATACATTATGGGAAACTGTAACAGAATAATCTGGCCTACATGGACTCACTCCTTTAGCCCTCTCCTTTAAAAGCACACTTCTCAGACGTCATGAACAAATGCCCCCCCCCCCCAACTTCAGCCCTCAAGCTATCCTAATAATAAAGCAAAAATTGCTTACTTGATAAATGGTTTACTTCAAGGTGGAGCTGTCAATTAGGCTACAGCACACTGGAAAAATTGTCTTCATTTGAGTTATTCTGTAGAGAGCTGAGTAAAGTTTTTTGATCACCCAGTTAAGGATCAAGAGGCAGCTGAGAGGCTGTTAACTTTAGTCCAGGGGTCTAAATCTGGCCTCATACTCTATTGATTTTCGTATCCTTGCAAATGAGTGTGGTTGGGATGAGGCAGCTCACCAGGGGATTGTCCTTGAGGGGTTATCTGAGCAAATTGAGCAAAGATGAGTTAGCTTCTAGAGATGAAGCTTCCTCTCGAGGAGTAATTTTTTTATCTATTAAGATAGATAACTGACTCAGGGAGAGAGAGAGAGAGAGAGTTAGAGAGAGAAAGAGATCTGTCAGGCCTAATAGATGTAACCTGGCTGGGCCATCCTGTTGCATGAATCACTTGCCGTTCCTTCCCACAACAGTCTGGACTTCAGTCCATTGGGAGTGTGTATCCCCGATCAGAAAATAACCGGGCCAATCAGAGACCGTGTTTCCACTGTTACCCGCACAACAGGGAAAGGCAGCCCCTGATTGGTCCATGTGTAGATGGTGACGTCTAACACATGCTGCGGGACTTTTCAAAGCTCCGTTCATTCAGAACACCGTAAATTCTGCAGTTGACTTTGCAAAGTCGGCAGAAATCGTTTATATCCGACGTCTTCTGCAGATATAAACGATTTCTGCCGACTTTGCATAGTCAACTGCAGAAGTTTTCCAGACCCTCATGAATGACATCCTCAGGGACATGCTCAATGGATTCGTTTTCGTCTACCTAAACAACATCTTCCTTTCCTTCCGCTCCCTAGAGGAACACCGTAAACACATCTGCCTGGTCCTACAACGCATTCCTCGAGAACCACCTCTTAGTCAAACTGGAGAAATGTAAGTTTCATGCCCCCTTAGTTAACTTCCTAACATTCCTTGACATTGCCTGTGGACAACTCAAACCGGACCCCTCCAAGATCCAAGCAGTTACTGATTGGCCCATACCCACCACCTCCAAGAATCTTCAATGCTTCCTCGGCTTAGCCAATTTCAACTGGCGCTTCATCAGAGATTACAGTAAGGTAGCCAACCACCTAACCCGCCTCACCTCCACCAGCTTCCCCTTCCTGTGGACTCCAGAAGCAGACAGGGCATTCACCAAACTCAAGTCTCTGTTCACTAGCGCCCCTGTTCTCTGACCCAAGTCTCCAGTTCATGGTAGAGGTGGATGCCTCTGATACAGGAGTAGGAGCTGTCCTCTCCCAGTGAAGCCCCCTCACCAACAAGTTCCATCCATGTGCCTTTTTCTCACCTCCCCTGGATTGAGCATGCACACAACTCCTTCATCAGCTCTGCTACAGGTATGTCCCTTTCATGGTTTGCTACAGTTTCCAACCCCCTTTGTTTCCTGAACACAAACTTGAGGTGGCAGTTCCTTCGGTGAAGTAGCACTTGAGGCGGATTTGGGGTGTGTGGAAGGAGGCGGGCATTGCTCTCATCCACTCGGCTGAAAGGATCAAGCAGCTGGCTGACCACCATTGCTCCCCCGCTCTGGAGTACAAACTGGGACAGATGGTGTGGCTCTCCTTCTGTGACCTCCCCCCTTCAAGTGGATTCATGTAAGCTTTCCCCCCACTTCATTGGACCATTTCCTGTTATTAAAATCATTAATCCTACATCTGTCAAACTCAAGCTCCCTGACTTCCTCAAGATCCATCATGTCTTCCATGTGTCCCTCCTCAAGCCTGTCTATTCCAGCAACCTTAGCCCTCCAGCCGTTCCCCCTCTACCCCCCTGGATCATTGACAACCACCAAGCTTTCTGTGTCCAGGATTTTGGACGTTAGGCCCCAGTGACGGGGGTTCCAGTTCTTAGTGGACTGGAAGGGCTATGGCCCGGAGGAGAGATACTGGATTTCTCGTAAGCTCATTTTGGACAACATCCTTATCAGGGACTTTTACTCTGAGCATCCTGACAAGCCAGGAAGGATGCCAGGAGGCGTCTATTGAGAAGGAGGTACTGTCATGATTACACACTGTTTTGGACATTTGGTGGCATTAGTGAGTGAGTTTGTAGTTTGTAGAGTTTTCTTACCCCCTTTTTACCTCCACAGAAGTTGGGTGGCTCCTCCTGCACCAACACACCTGCAGCTCACAGTAGTGTGGCGCCGCTCGAGGTGGCAGCCTGTTACAGCAGTGTTTACACCTGTGTTTGATATTTTTTGTATCTTTTTCGCTTTCATTTCTGTCCTGACACATGTGTTTTCACCAGTTAGTGTCTAACTACTGGATACACCGACTTTTGTCTTTTTTTAAACTTTTCTGGCCATTTTTCTGGACACTTTTTGGCACTTTAGTACTCATGGCAAGGGAGGTTCACAGACACGACAGTGAGGGCTTTGTTTACATGCACGACCAGCTGAATGCGCTGAGTAAAAAGACATCTACAGGAGGAAGCTGAAGGCCAAACTCCAGCAAAACAACGTGAGGGATGTGTGGACTGGGATGAAGCACATCACAGGATGTAAAGGGAGACAAAGGCAACCATCAGGCAGCCTGGAGAGAGCCAACGAGCTGAACACTTTCTTTAACTGGTTCAGCTCACAGCCGTCTGTCTCCCTCATGCATCCAGTCTCCCACACTCCCTCACCACATCAACCTCTCCCCCCTGCGGTGAGCAATCCTGTGCAGCACCTCTCCTCCCCCCTCCCCCTCAACCTCCCTCTTCACTGGATATATCAGCACCCAGTTACCGCCCCATTTCACTTCTCAACGTTGACATTAAAATGATCACCAAGGCACTTTCCCACCGATTAGAAAAAATTATTCCATCCATTATTCACCCGGATCAAACAGGATTTATTAAAGGAAGAAACTCATCCAATAACACACGCAGACTATTCAATATAATGCACCACTCAACCACACATAACCATAATTCAATCATAGCCACCTTGGATGCAGAAAAAACCTTTGACAGAGTTAACTGGTCATTCCTCATCAACACCCTACACAGTTTCGGCTTTGGGGAATCATTTATTAACTGGATTAGAACACTTTACACCTCACCTACAGCCACAGTTATTACTAACGGACAAACCTCACAAAGCTTCACTCTTCACAGGGGGACCAGGCAAGGTTGCCCACTCTCTCCCTCTTTGTTCACCATTTTCATTGAACCCCTAGCAGCAGCCATCCGTCAGAACCCCCTCATTACAGGAATCCAAACCCCCAACATGCATCATAAAATCAGCCTCTATGCAGATGACATTTTACTTTTTATGGAGAATCCAGAATCATCACTACAAGAAGTAATCAGAGTCATCAAATCCTTCTCCCTTCTCTCTGACTACTCAATAAACTGGAACAAACTCCATACTTCCATTAAACACCAACAGTCTGGCTGTGGCAGCCCTTACAACACCCATCCCCTTCTGCACAAGTCACATCACCAACTTAGGCATCCACATTTCGCCCAGGCTGTCAGAGTTGATCAACCTGAATTTCACTCCACTCCTAAAAACAATCAATGACGATCTCCAACGATGGATGAACCTCCCATTATCTATTATAGGCAGAATAGCAACAGTTAAAATGACAATCTTCCCCAAAATCAGTTACCTTTGTTCAATGATTCCCACTCATCCACCTCTCACCTGGTTTCATTCCCTCGATTCATCTATCAACAAATTTTACTGGAAAAATACCCCCCCCCCCCCGAATCAAACTGGCCACTCTTCAAAAATCAAAAAGTTTAGGCGGACTCAATGCTCCAAATTTTCATTATTACTCACTAGCAAATCAACTTCAATACATCTACAAATGGACCCACCCCACCCAGTCAGATAGCACTTGGTTAGACGTAGAACAAATAGTTAGCAAAAACATCCATCTCTCAGACTTACCATTCCTTAGTCAAACTATCAAAAAACACCCTTGTTTCTAAAACCCCACAATATCATCGGCCCTGACAGCCTGGTGGAAATTCTACAGCATTACTAACTCCACTTTGGCACCGTCGCTTTTCACCCCGATCTGGCACAACTTGGACTTCATCAGCAATAAACAATCACTATACTTCAGCACCTGGGTAGAGAAAGGGATTACTCGCCTCAAACATATCTTCAACAATAACACCCTGGTCCCATTCTCTCTCCTGGTCCAGAAGTTTGGCATCAGGAGCCATCAATTCTTACAATATCTTCAGGTTTCATCATCTATCCAATCAACAATGAAAAACAAGAATATAAACTTAGACCTCCCCCTGTTACCCTCTAAATTCATTAACATCCCTTCCTCAAATAAACTTCTATCTAAAATATACAAATCATTATCACAGGCCGATTCAACACCCTCCATACCTTCAGAAAAATGGGAAACTGACCTCTCCATTGCTCCTGATGCTGACTTCTGGCCCCAAATCTGCAAGAACATTTTCTCCATGACAATTTACAACTCATACAATACAAAATCCTTCATAGAACTCATCTGACTGGACACAAAATGCAAAAAATGGGCTTCTCATCATCTGGAAACTGTTCACACTGCTCACTAAACAGCACTGATACCTATATTCATGCAACCTGGCACTGCACACCTGTTCACCACTTCTGGAGAAACATTACAGAAACTTTATCCCAGATCATGGGCTGCCACATCCCACTTTCCCCTTCCCTCTGTTTATTAGGAGACCTATCTACATTAAAACTTGACAAAATACACACACGTTCACTTCTAGTGGTGCTGACCGTCGCCAGGAAAACTATCCTCATGAACTGGAAGTCTCGGAACTCCATACACATCATACACTGGAAAAACCTGCTCACAGACTACATCTCCCTAGAAAAAACTCCTCTGACAATAATCATAACTCTACCTGGTTATCATTCATCACTTTTCTACAATCATAATCTGCCACAAACCAGTCACAACATCATCCATCTCAGTTCTCTGACACTTTCATTCCCAATTTTTTATTTTTATTTTTATTTTTTTTATTTATCTATTTATTATTATTATTATTTTTTTGTTTTTTACTACATATTACTACAAATATTATGATGAATATTATTGTCATTGTCATTTTCTATTATTATTTATACTTATTTATTTATACTTACATTTACAGTTATTATTTTCTGCTCGGGTCCCTGCTGGGTCGCGCCTGTTAAGCCATGACCTGTGATCTCCTTGCCCTCCCGGCCTCCCCCCTCCCCCAGTTCTCTGCCCTGGACTGTCTTCAGATGGCACATCACCTTTTTTATTGCACATCACACTAGATTAGGAAGAGGAAAGGGGTCTCAAACACATCAAATTATAAGTCAGGACAACCTCTCTCCTCGGTTTTAATGCACAACATTAGAAAGCACATATATGAGAGAAATTTAAAAAAAAAAAAAGAAAAAAAAAAGAAATAAATAAAAATAACTAGGGCCCCGGTGGGGCACTGTCGGGCCCGAGCCGCGTCGTGCCGCCCCCAGCGTGACCGCCTCCCCCTCCCGATTGAGTCACACTCAAGGTCCAAAGATGGTGTGCGCACTTGTCTGTGGTCATTTCCCATTATAATGAATGGGAGGCGCAGTTTCTACCAAAACACTCGCTGCAGACAAACTTCATGTCCTATTTGAAAAAAGTCTGGACCATGAGTGAGGGCACAAACACAGCTGGGATATATCCAAATGGCAGGTTGCTCCTCGTTACGGTGTTGCCTGGAGAGCGATGCGATTGAGCCATTGAGCGATGGGCAGGAGAAAAAGTCAAGTTTTTCCTGCCAACTTGACTTTTTCTCCTGCCATGGGGGGGGAGAATGTGGATTCTTTTAAAAATGTGGATTTTTTGGTCATCTTTGGCGCCCCCTAGAACGTAAACCGTGGGGTGCAGCGTCATGATTTTTACAACTTTGAATGGCCATGGGGTGTAGATTGGCCTGAGCAAATTTGGTTTCAGTGGGACGAAAGCCTTAGGAGGAGTTAGCCACATTCCAATGTGTGCGAATCGGCAAAAAATGCAAAATAGCCCTCTAACCGTACATTTGACAGATACGCACCCATTGACTTTTTCGTAGATCTTATTGAGATACACGTGATTGTCAAATTTTGTGTCAATATGACAAAACGTACAGGTGTCACACTCAACAATGTGAATTTTCACCTTACGGGACAAGAAAAAATTGACTTTTTTCTCCTGCCATGGGGGGGCGCTCTTTTGAGGAGTAAAAATTCCTTCACAAATGTGTTGATGGCTGGACATTGCATCATCCTAGAAAACTTGGAGGCCAGTGAGGACAAAAATAAAAAGTTATAAGACTTTGAAATATGTGGATTTTAGGGTTATCTTTGGCGCCCCCTAGAACCTAAACCGTGGGGTGCAGCGTCATGATTTGAATAACTTTTAATGGCCATGGGGTGTAGATTGGCCTGAGCAAATGTGGTGCCGGTGGAACGCCAGCCTTAGGAGGAGTTAGCGAAATTCCAATGTGTGCGGATCAGCAAAAAATGCGGAATAACCCTTTAACCGTACATTTGACAGATACGCGCGCATTGACTTTTTCGTAGATCTTATTGAGATACATGTGTGTGTCAAATTTTGTGTCAATATGACAAAGCGTACAGGCGTGACACTCAAGAATGTGTATTTTCACCTTAGGGGACAAGAAAAAATGGACTTTTTTCTCCGGCCATGGGGGGGCGCTCTTTTGGGGAGTAAAAATTCCTTCACAAATGTGTTGATGGCTGGACATTGCATCATCCTAGAAAACTTGGAGGCCAGTGAGGGCAAAAATAAAAAGTTATAAGACTTTTAAATATGTGGATTTTAGGGTTATCTTTGGCGCCCCCTAGAACCTAAACCGTGGGGTGCAGCGTCATGATTTGAATAACTTTTAATGGCCATGGCGTGTAGATTGGCCTGAGCAAATGTGGTGCCGGTGGAAAGAAAGCCTTCGGAGGAGTTAGCGAAATTCCAATGTGTGCGGATCGGCAAAAAATGCGGAATAACCCTTTTACCGTACATTTGACAGATACGCCCGCACTGACTTTTTTGTAGATCTTATTGAGATACATATGTGTGTCAATTTTTGTGTCATTTTGACAAAGCGTAAAGGCGTGACAGTCAATAGTGTGAATTTTCACCTTAGGGGGCGCTATGGAGCCATTTTGCATTTTCTTGTTTGGGCGACTTCGGAATATCAAATTTTTCACCAGGCCCGGTCATCCTGCCAAATTTCATGAGTTTTAGTGATATCCAATAGGCTAGGCACTCACGAGGCTGGCTGTGGCAAGTGCAAGTGAAAGCCACACGCACTGGCAGGAAGAACAGCAAACGCCGATGAAGGAAAAGGGTCTTTGCAGTGATGGGCGTTACCAGAGAGGACGATGGCCAGAGGACGCGAATGGGACGGGGAGGCAGCGCGTTGGGGGGGGGGGGGGGGCGCAACACAGCTCGGGCCCGCCAGTGCCCCAACGGGGCCCTAGTTAGGGCCCGAGCGTAGCTGCTAAGCAGCTGCGAGAGCCCTCTTGTTCCTGCATGTTTCCTTCTTTCGTTAGGGCCCGAGCGTAGCTGCTAAGCAGCTGCGAGAGCCCTATTATTCCCCAAGTGGTTTTTCTTTGTTAGGGCCCGAGCCAGCTGCAGAGCAGCCGGGCGTAGGCCCTGTTATTCCTGTAGGGGTTTTTCTTTGTTTCTTTCTTTAGGGCCCGAGCCAGCTGCAGAGCAGCCGGGCGTAGGCCCTATTATTCCCCAAGTGGTTTTTCTTTGTTTCTTTCTTTAGGGCCCGAGCGTAGCTGCTAAGCAGCTGCGAGAGCCCTATTATTCCCCAAGTGGTTTTTCTTTGTTTCTTTCTTTCTTTCTTTCTTTCTTAGGGCCCGAGCGTAGCTGCTAAGCAGCTGCGAGAGCCCTATTATTCCCCAAGTGGTTTTTCTTTGTTTCTTTCTTTCTTTAGGGCCCGAGCGTAGCTGCTAAGCAGCTGCGAGAGCCCTCTTGTTCCTGTAGTTTCCTTCTTTTGTTATTATTATTATTATTATTATTTTTCCTCCCCTTTGAACTGGAAAATGGCCCACTTCCCACTGGCAAAAACTCATGAAATTTGGCAGGACGACCGGGCCTGGTGAAAAATTTGATATTCCGAAGTCGCCCAAACAAGAAAATGCAAAATGGCTCCATAGCGCCCCCTAAGGTGAAAATTCACACTATTCACTGTCACGCCTGTACGCTTTGTCAAAATGACACAAAAATTGACACACACATGTATCTCAATAAGATCTACAAAAAAGTCAGTGCGGGCGTATCTGTCAAATGTACGGTTAAAGGGTTATTTCGCATTTTTTGCCGATCCGCACACATTGGAATTTCGCTAACTCCTCCGAAGGCTTTCGTTCCACCGGCACCACATTTGCTCAGGCCAATCTACACCCCATGGCCATTAAAAGTTATTCAAATCATGACGCTGCACCCCACGGTTTAGGTTCTAGGGGGCGCCAAAGATAACCCTAAGATCCACATATTTAAAAGTCTTATAACTTTTTATTTTTGCCCTCACTGGCCTCCAAGTTTTCTAGGATGATGCAATGTCCAGCCATCAACACATTTGTGAAGGAATTTTTACTCCCCAAAAGAGCGCCCCCCCATGGCAGGAGAAAAAAGTCCATTTTTTCTTGTCCTCTAAGGTGAAAATACACATTGTTGAGTGTAACACCTGTACGCTTTGGCAAAATGACACAAAAATTGACACACACATGTATCTCAATAAGATCTACGAAAAAGTCAATGCGCGCGTATCTGTTACATGTACGGTTAAAGGGTTATTCCGCATTTTTTGCCGATCCGCACACATTGGAATTTCGCTAACTCCTCCGAAGGCTTTCGTTCCACCGGCACCACATTTGCTCAGGCCAATCTACACCCCATGGCCATTAAAAGTTATTCAAATCATGACGCTGCACCCCACGGTTTAGGTTCTAGGGGGCGCCAAAGATAACCGTAAAATCCACATATTTAAAAGTCTTATAACTTTTTATTTTTGTCCCCACTGGCCTCCAAGTTTTCTAGGATGATGCAATGTCCAGCCATCAACACATTTGTGAAGGAATTTTTACTCCCCAAAAGAGCGCCCCCCCATGGCAGGAGAAAAAAGTCCATTTTTTCTTGTCCACTAAGGTGAAAATACACATTGTTGAGTGCTACGCCTGTATGTTTTGTCGTATTGACACAAAATTTTACATACACGTGTATTTCAATAAGATCTTCGAAAAAGTCAATGGCCACGTATCTGTAAAATGTACGGTTAAAGGGTTATTTTGCATTTTTTGCAGATTCGCACACATTGGAATTTCGCTAACTCCTCCGAAGGCTTTTGTTCCACCGGCACCACATTTGCTCAGGCCAATCTACACCCCATGGCCATTAAAAGTTATTCAAATCATGACGCTGCACCCCACGGTTTAGGTTCTAGGGGGCGCCAAAGATAACCCTAAAATCCACATATTTAAAAGTCTTATAACTTTTTATTTTTGTCCTCACTGGCCTCCATGTTTTCTAGGATGATGCAATGTCCAGCCATCAACACATTTGTGAAGGAGTTTTTTCTCGTTAAAAGAGCGCCCCCCATGGCAGGAGAATAAAGTCAAGTTTTTCCTGTTCATCATTCAATGGCTCAAACGCACTGCTCTCTCGGCAAAAGCGAAAGGAGGAGCAACTTGCCATTTGGATATATCTTAGCTGTGTTTGTGCCCTCACTCATGGTCCAGACTTTTTTCAAATAGGACATGGAGTTTTTCTGCAGCGAGCGCTTTGGTAGAAACTGCGCCTCCCGTTCATTATAATGGTAAATGACCACAAACAAGTGCGCACACCATCTTTGGACCTTGAGTGTGACGCGATCGGGTGGGGGAGGCGGTCGCGCTGGGGGCGGCGTGACACGGCTCGGGCCCGCCAGTGCCCCAACGGGGCCCTAGTTCTTTCTTTCTTTCTTCTTTTTCCTCCCCTTTGAACTGGAAAATGGCCCACTTCCCACTGGCGAAAACTCATGAAATTTGGCAGGACGACCGGGCCTGGTGAAAAATTCGATATTCTGAAGTCGCCCAAACAATAAAATGCAAAATGGCTCCATAGCGCCCCCTAAGGTGGAAATTCACACTATTGACTGTCACGCCTGTACGCTTTGTCATATTGACACAAAAATTGACACACATATGTATCTCAATAAGATCTACAAAAAAGTCAGT